GAAGCCGACGCTCTCGCAAGAGCATAATCACCCGATCATCCCAGGACACCATCGATGAGGAGAGTGAGGAAGAAGAAGAGGCTTCTGAAGAAGAAGAGGAGGATGAAACAGCAGATGAGAGCAGAGAGTCTGCCAGCGACATGAGTGAAGGATCAATGTCACGGAGGTCAAGTGTGATCTCAGCGGCAGGAAGTGGAGGCACACCGTACGCCACAGAGAACAGCGTGATGGAGAGTTCAGATGAAGCATATGGAGGCCTCTCACCCATCACAGAGGTGGATGAGGATGCCATAACTTCCGGCAGTGGCTCGGCATCTGAAAGTGGCTCTGTGATTCGCTCAAAGCAATCAGGGACAGAAGGAACCACGGAAGTAACGGATGCAGATTCCGAATCTGGAGATTCCACAGCTTTCTAAAATGGGGGCCAAGTAAGACTTATCTGACTTCTGTCGTGGATTGAAGATATTCCAACTTTTCTCACAGTCTTTTCTCTTCTTCTGGTGTGTTTTGGAACCATTCCAACTGCATGGAAGTGCTGAAAAGGGCATGCTGTTCACGTTTTTTTGATGTGCTTATGAAATTCCTTCTTTTGAGTGAACTTACATTTATTTTAATCCTCTCGAGTTTCCTTTCCCAAAAACCTTATCCCTTTGAGTGCTTTGATATGATATTGATATTCAGGGTGAACACAAGATTCAGTTTGGTTACAATTGCAATTTTACCATTCCCACCTGGGGGATTTATCTTTGATAGCTGATTTAAGTTAGTAATTCTTCTCTCTAATCTACAGGCTGGGAAGAAAAAGAGGGTCAAACTGGTGTTGGACAGAGAGCACGACACAACTTCAACAGAAGAGGACAGTGGACCGGATGTCACACGCAACCGCATACCCAACGTCAGCAGCCACAGTAACATCAACGGATCAGTATACCTTGCCCAAAACGGTACCATCATCCGAACACGGAGGCCCCCTTACCCCAACAACTTAAAACCGGGCTCACCAACACGATTAAGCAAACAATTTAAAAAACTAGATAAGCTAGGTGTCACACACGAAGAGCATTTACCTTTAAATGGAACAGAAGACAATGGGTCTATTATCGGCACCACCACTGACCATTCCTATGTTACTGATCACAACCTCAACTCCAAAGAGTGTAGTATAATGGGCCTTAAAAGCACAGGGCCCAAATCCAACATTAATAAAGCCCGTTTGGAGCAGGGTAGGGGGAACTGTGAGCAGGAGTCCTCGGTGGACAACAGGGAAATTAAAGAGTCGGTTGAATCTCCATGTGAGCAAACACTGTCTGATGAAGAGGAACTCTGGATGGGACCTTGGAACAACTTACACATACCAATGACAAAACTCTGATTTTTAGTTTTGCTAATGCTAGTGGTACTGTTTCTATTTAGTTTCCTTTCAAGTCTTTTCTCTGTTTTATTTGGGTTCTTTGAGAGATTTTGTTGTACACACACCACTAAACACCGACTAAGAAATGTGATTCTCTTATAAGGAATTATTTTTTCATGCAGTTGATTATATTTCACTTCTTATTGTAGTTTCAGATAAATTGCTGTGGAAGACAGGGCTATTCTGTACAAATTCCTTTGCCTCAAGTCAACTGTTTTCAAAATGTATAACTGTAATGTAAATGACATTATTAGATATTGTCAGATACGATTTTACAAAGACAATACAAAGAAAATGTAGCCGATTTAACCAATTTAGAACGATTGAGCTTTGATTGAAGAGTATTTTTTATTAATGAGTCCCGCAACGGTTGCTTGAAAATTCCCTACAAATCTGTATAACCAGTGATGGCTGCTGTACATTCAATTATTCCTCATGTTTTTTAATGGATGTATTTTTTACATTGAGAATACACATGGTTGTAATGGCCCTAATATTTTGGAAAAAAAAATTACATAGTTCTATAAATGTATACTTAAGTATAATATAGTATATGTATTTTGATAACTTTAAGTGTTTTTTTTTTTTTAATTCTTCTTTTCATCCAAAAAATCAAATGAATCTTGTTTTTCTTCTTCCCTTTTGAGTTTGTTTTTTTATATACTGGTCAGATTGTTTGAAGTTTTGATTTATTATTATCATAAATAAAATTGTGAACATAATCCAAACATGTTTGTCAATAAATTAGCTATTCACAGACACATGCATATATATAGGCCTACACCTGTATATATATATATATATATATATATATATATATATATATAACAGAGGATTTTTCATATGAGAAATAAGTACACAGAGGCTTTCTCAGATGAATCACTGGGCATAAGTATTTATCCCAACAATCTTTCATCTGTCCATCAAAGGCTGACCGCTCTGTCAGATATGAATATTTGCACGTCCACATTATTACAGCTGCCTGGGGAAAAAGTCTCTGAAAAATGAGTTCTAGTTCCTTGATGCTTATGACATGATGTGAAGATATCTTTAATACAGTAATAATAACAACTAACTGGACTCGTAAATATACAATGGTTATTTCTTGACCACTAATTTGCCTGGACATGCAATGTACCAAGAGTGTTTTTATTTAGTTTAAATATTTCTTTTCATTCTTAAAAATGCTGTTACTTTCTAATTGCAGAGTACCCGGAAACATCGGTTTGTGATTGCAAAGGTTAAACTTCTATATTTGACTTCTTGTTTACCTGCAATCAAGTAAAAAAAAAAACATTAAATGATTACAGCCTGCTTGTTTGGTTACAGCTTTTGTGTCGCCATTTTCCGTTATTTTTTTTATACTTGATTCTTGATTATTTGCATGATGTTTTGTTTATGCATTGTATGTGTTTGTGTAACATCACGCACATACAGATGTGAAGTGATTGACTGTTATCTGCAGAGTTCTGTGTTCACCAGGAGAGGGAGACACACTATTCACACATCTCTGATAGTCATCACTAACTTTGCTTAACGCAAATCACACAGAAAAGGAAAGGACAAATGTTTCAAATCTGTTTTGCTTTCTGAATTGAAATCATAGTCTGATTTCCTTGAGGAACATTTTTCTGAATAGATTCGTAAAGGTGAACTTAGACTTATTTATTTAGCAAGTTCAAATTCTTATTGTGCAGAGTCAACTTTGTATGTCGACATCCTGAAGAACATGTAAAAAACTTTGGCTGTGTTCAGAATAGAATTTATTGAATACGGTAGCATATAAATGGTATACTGATGTTTAAAAAACAAGAAAACAAACAAAAAACCTTTAAAATTATGTGCATAGGTAATATATTTAATGTTTGATAAAGTAATAGCTGTTGTTGTCACACAAATTTAAAATATGGCTATTTTGAATTTTCATTTCAGTTTTGGGGAAAAATGCTTTAAAAAAATACCCTTTAGGCAGTCTGATCAAATACAAGGTCAAAATATAAATCTCACAGGTTCATCACACTGGAAAAGGAAGGTGATGATCACAACATTTATCAAATTTTTATGTGGTGTATGTTGAGATATATAAGTGTAAACATCCTTTTCTCCTTTTAACAATTAAGTATTTTAAATGTGTCTTTATCGTTGCTGTAGTCAAGCATAGTAGAATACGAAAGCCCACCTGTCCCCTTATTCCCCTTTCTGCACATGTGCTGCAGTGAACTGTGTTTGACTCAGATTGGCTCTGACTGTGAGCTGTCTCCTCTCCTTTTGCTCTGGCTGCTGTTGATGCTTTAGTGTGTGTGTGTGTGTGTGTGGGCAGATGCAGGTTGTAAGCATGCATGAGGAGGGAGAGTGTGTCCACATGCGTGATTGGATTGTGTTTGTCACGCAGGAAAGTTCAACATCACAAAAAGAGGTTGAAGATCACCTCCTAGTGTTAGCACATATTTATATGTTTGGAATAGCATACTAAAATACTACCTCGTATACTGTGTTGTATGCAAGATTTCTGTATAGGCTACCTAGATGATATAAACCTACTACATTGTACAAAATGTGCAGCATAGCCTATACTAACATTGTACTCTTTATTACTGTAGTATTAGGTATTTTATGCACAATATTCACATTTTTAATGGATTCTCCAGATAGTAGCCTACTATATTTGATAACTTCATGGGATGCACATGTCGGGTGCACTCAACTTGACTTTCCATTTCCAGTGAGATGAATATTTTATGTAGCTGACATACAGCATTTTTTTAACCCACAAAAAATGTATATCCCAAAATGCAATGTGCCTGACTTCAACTTCCATTTGTGGCATGGCGAATGAGCCAGAATTGTTTTTGTCTCTGCACGGACTACGGTGCATGTGCGAGTGCACTCAAAGACAACAGGTCCACTAGGTAGTGTGCATGAATTTCAGTTTAAATCTGCAAGACCATCCCCAGGTTTCACAGACAAGGTTTAAGCCCCGTCCCAGACTAAAATGCATGTCTGATGTGCATAAACTCAAAGCAACTTGCACTGACATATCTTAAAATATGTGAGTAGGCTGCTTTTGTCTCCAGACGTTTTTTTTTTTTCTGATTTTTTAAGGCTTTTTTTAAAGCTACTTAAATGTCCATTAACCAAGGCCTAATTCTGGCTTAATCTAAGCCCTGTCTTTGAAACCGCAGGCCCCCGTTTGCTATTATTATAACAGAGTAAGCCTATGTGCAGTAGTCTATCTACATTTGTTTATTTGGAATTCACTAAACAGCCAATTTCAATATCTAGAAAACAATTTAAAGTTGTTGTTCAAAATTTAAACAATGAGTAAATACATCATCAATCCTTCTTCCAAGACGTGTTTTTACCTTACCACAGTGGTAAGCATAAACCGTAGTAAGCCTAATTTCGTTGAAAATCGCGTAGCCTACATTAATCACTCGCACGTGTGTCTCGTCATATCCGGAAAGAGATTATGTAACGTTACTATGGTTGAATAGTTGTCAACGAGCGAGGGAGATGGAGTAGTTGACAGGGAAATCACTGTTTTAAAAAAGCAAAAAACGAAACAACAACAACTCAGAACAGAGGAGTCTATTAAAAAAAACGCAGAACAGAGGAGTCTATTGGCAAAATAGAACGCGACAGAGCTCGCAATAACGAGAAGCAATGTTGGCTTGGAGATGGCAAGAATTTAGGGATTTGAAATCTTGGCCTAAACGCGACGCGGAGATGGTATTTTTATTGCTCAAGAGGTGAATAAGGTATTTCATTGAATAGATAATCTGATCTCTCTAACAGTTTATTGTAAAACATTATCAATGTTGAGTTCATTGTGGTTGTTGTAGTGCTGTGTTGTCGTGCTATACCGTCTCTATTTATGAGTAATTTAACGTTAAAGCTATAGTACCGTCAGCTATCTAAACTGGTTAGTATTAAATGTTTTATGAGCATAAAACAGTCATCCACACAGTCGCAGAGCCGAAGCACAGCCAGAAAAATATTCTTCCGCCAAATGCATTCAGTCTTTTTAATCGCTAAGGGCAAAGGCCCACCTTAATATTTTAAGGGCAAAAATAATTTATTTTATTTACATTATGCTGCATTTAAAAAAAAAAAAAACTTAAGTAGTCCATTCCCATCATTGTCTCTCCTCACCGTATAGCTATACCTTGATGTCTAGATCAAAACATTCCAATAAAACATATTTTCTGTGTGACTAACACATATAGAGCCGCTCGCAGGCTCGTGTGATAATAGGGCTTCCAGGAAGCCGGTGTGTTTTCAGCCAGCGCTATGTGTGAGGTTTGGTTTGCGATCAGGTGAATGTAGTTCAAGTCTGGAGAGGCATCTCTTTCCTCTCTGATGAGTCTCTATTGCATGTTTCAGAGCTGCTATTACAGCTCTGGCTTATGATTCTAATTACCCAGATTATATAATTAGCTAGTCAATGTCTGCATCCTGCAGGGGTAAAGTGCGCACGCAGGTGTTTATGAAAGGGCTTGAGGTTGCGTGTGCTTTAGAAGGAATGATCATATTTTAGTAAGGCCTGTGACAGACAGACAGCCTGAACTGCTGCTTGTTAGGTGGTTGAGGGGTAATTGTGTGGTTTCGATGCTACAAACTAATTTTCTCAAGAGAACCACACTGCTGAAAAGAAGCGACTGTTGGAGGCTTAGAGCGGCAGACAGAAACTCTGTAGCCCCGGGACAGACAGGAGCTGTCAGCGTGACTCTCCTGTGTCCTGTTTTTATTCATGTGTCAAGCAGTTTTTTTTTCTTCTTCTTTTCAGACGTTTAGACTTTTCTGCAATAAATATGAAATAGATTTAGTAGGCTATTTTATTTTTTTTAAAGATAAGAGCAAATAATTAGATGGGGACAGGGAATCTTTTTTTAATTGTGCCTTTTAATTCTCATAATTGCCTGGTTGGTTTATATCAAATGTCTGACTTTTTTAGTTATAAACCCCCAGCTTTTCTATAAATCTCGTAACTGTGAGATAAAATGATGGCTGAATTCAATTCGGAATATCAGTTGATGGACCCCATTGACTAGTATGTTTTTCCTTAAGTCAATTGCTGTTGTCAACTGTCTGTTACCAACAATCTTTAAAATATGTTCTTTTGTGTTCAACAGAAGAAAGAAACTCTTACAGATTTGCAACATGAGGGGTGAGTAAATAATGACAATTTCAACTATCCTTTCTGCAATGGAAATGGGGAAATGTACTAGTTCAGTGGTCAAAATATAATTTAAATCTTGCGTGTTATTATCTAAGAAATGGGGACACAACATTTTTGTACGTTTAAAAAAAATGTTTTAGGTTTCATATTCAACAAGTTTATTCTCTACAGATAAAATTCTCACAAATGACAAATTCATTTTCACAATCTTTAAATATAGAGTAGGCCTATATTTATATATATATATATATATATATATATATATATATATATATATATATATCATTTTTTATTATTTATTTTTTTATTTTTTTTATTTGTTTTATGTTTGTGCTTTTAGAAATGGATCATTCATTATCCCTAATTATTAATATTATTTTAGGCTCATCTTGAGAACAAGGTATGTGCTTATGCACAAGGTATGTGTGCACCCTTATATAGTTAGGCTATAGTTCAGTACAAACACTAACTTGTTTGATTTAACATAAATAGTTTTGTGACTACCTTATAAACCAATAAAGGTGTCTCATTTTTTTATTTATTTTTTAGATTAAATGGTTTGACTTTTTAAATCACAACTGCCAAGTACATAGACTTTCCACATTTGACACATACAAATCCTACTAGGCTAAAGTGATATACAGTATATATATATATATACTTGATTATTTCACTCTATTGTTTGTTCGTCACCAGATGCAGTTCAGGCTGTTAACTTGCTGTGAATGTATACCTCTGTTAAATGAGTGTGTGTTGTGTGAAAGTGAAGTGCTTTCAATGAGCGTGTGTTTCATAGTAAAGCAGACACAATGAATCACTTTTGGTAGTGGGGGTATCACAGTAACTTAAAACCACTAAAATCGTGTCTAAGACATTTATATCTGGTTGTCTAAAACAGCTCTGTCATCTGTATTTGCTCAGTTGCTTTTGGTTCATAGTTGCAGTTAGCGACAGGTTTGTTAATGGTCCGACAAATGTGTATGGGCCACAAGCGTTTTTTTTTTAAACCTTCAAATGGTCTTCGTTTCCCGTTTACACTTCTGGGCTTCGGGGTCTATACGCCCCCAACAATTTTGTGTGTGTGTGTGTGTGTATAGACAGATAATGTATGAAAAGTCACAAAATCTTATTCCACTGAGATGAAGGGAACCTTTTTTTTTTAATTATTATTAAGTAAAAGTTGATTGGGGTCGTATAGACCCCATGACCCAATTGAGGGCTACAGCTGGGCAGACTTTTTTTCCCAATTCAGAGGCTGCATCCTGCACCCTTGAAAGCTACTTTAAATGCGGCCTCCATATGCATCCTTCGTTTCCCGTGCAATGAAGCGTGGCCTTGCCTCCTTTTTTGAGAGAAGATATCACAGTTTCTAGGCGACAAGAACACTTGCCCATAAACCGTCCCATTTAACAACGCTCAGTCCGACCTTTACAGCCTTTGAAGGATGCAGCATCCGAAGTCTGAGTTCTTCGAAGGATGCAGCCTCTGAAAACACACTTTCTTAATGCTGATTCTTAATCTACTTTCTTAACTTGTAGTTGTATTGTATTTTATGTGTTATTTATTTTGTATGCCTGTATTTATACTGACTGCATTTGCAATTTTACTTTATCTTTGTATTGATTATCTTGCCCTTTTCAGTGCTTCACTCTGCACACCAAAAACAGGGACTGTCCCCGTAAAAGGAGGACGTCTGGTCACCATGTTTACCATTCTGCCATACAAAGACAACGCATTCTCACCCCAAGGCGTCACCTTTGACCATGCTTCAATATTTGACGTTTTAGGCGCCCTTTAGCATCACTTACATGACGCGATCCTACGGCGTCATCTAACTGACGCTAAAGGAAAGCGTCAGTTAGAGGACGCGGTTAGGTTTAGGTCTGGGGTGGGGTACACGCCATCCTAGAGCGTCATCTAACTGACGCTAAAGGGCGCCTAAAGCGTCAGATATTGAAGCATGGTCAAATGCTTCCCAAGGTGTCAGTTAGGTGACGCCTTGGGGGTGAGAATGGGCTGACAAAGATATGACCGATAAGGATGGTATCATAGTTTTTTTAATTCAGCCAATGACTATTTCCAAACTGGTTTCCCCAAACACTCCTGTCTGCCCTTGGTCACTCAAACAGGTAATTCTGCCTCAAGCGCACACCGTTGGTTGAGGCAGCTGTTAATTAAATAGTCCAGTAATTTGATTGGCCCGAGTGTCTGCCATTTCGAACATCATAACTGAACATCACTGTTTTTATCAGGGCTCTTAAAGGAGAACTCCGGCGAACAATGAACCATTGGTCTAATAAAACGTCGGTACCTAGTCAACCATACGCCTTATTCACGGCAGCGCCATCTTTGATTTTTAATGAGAATGAAAGCGAGGCTGTGAGGGATAGACTTGCATCTCTTCAATGGGCTGTACTGTTATTTAATGTGTTTTCGGATTGTTCTGCTCATGAAACACTGGAAAAATATCTTTCTAAGAAATTTCAGTTGTCAAAAAACTCCTGACAATGTAAGTTGTGGAAAATTGTAAGTAATCTAGGAGCTTTATTCAGCTTTTTAAAGCGGATGCCATTGGAAACACGGTAAGTCTATCCCTCACAGCCTCACTATCACACCTGTCATGGCGCTGCTCTGAATAAGGTCTATTCTCTGAGTTTTGTTTTCATGATAATCGAATGTAAAGAGTTTTATCTCTAAAAACTGTTTAGCGTATAATTCTAGTAATGGGGGCATTGACTAAGTAAAAAGAAATCGCTAGTTTATACCACTAACAAGGCTCAAAATAGCCCCACACTCACACAGTAATATAATGAGGCTCCATACATGCAAAACGAAGCATTGAGAACTTTGTAAGTGTACAGACCGTTTAATAAGAAGATACTTTATGAAGACAGTTCACTTTGCATATACAGGCAGGAGCCATCTTAAAAAATAGTCTCGATAAGTCGATCCCCGAACGCCATTTATACAGTTCAGAAGTTCGTTGAACTTCATAGAGTTCAGATCACTCAGCACGACGTTCGTGGTTCGACTTATCGAGACTATTTTTTAAGATGGCTCCTGTCTGTATACGCGAAGTGAACTGTCTTCATAAAGTATCTTCTTATTGAACGGTCTGTACACTTACAAAGTTCTCAATGCTTCGTTTTGTATGTATGGAGCCTCATTATGTTATTGCGTTAGTGTGGGGCTATTTTGAGCCTTGTTAGTGGTATAAACTAGCGATTTCTTTTTACTTAGTCAATGCCCCCATTACTAGCATTATACGCTAAACAGTTTTTAGAGATAAAACTCTTTACATTCGATTATCATGAAAACAAATTTCAGAGAACGGTTGACTGTACCGATATTTTATTAGACCAATGGTTCATTGTTTGCCGGAGTTCTCCTTTAACCGGTTTAAGGAACAAAATTTGAACAGGAACGAAAACTAAATAAATTGTAATCATTCTGAACAGAAACGTTTATTTGAAATGACCATTAACCAGTTAATAATAACGTTATTTTATAACGTTTATATTTGGCAGTGACCAATCATGAATTGAATAGTACAGCATGAAATGCCTGAAAAAACAAGTAGAAAAGTAAAATTTTGTTCAAAGCATTTTATCACTCTTCTGAAAAAAAAAAAAAAAAAAAATGTCATTAGAGGGCCACTTTCAATTGACTAATGGTCCAGTAAAGCAGGTCAATATTTTGCCAACTGTTTATGCTTTAACCACAACAGAATACTTGTATTAATTAAATGTTCAATTATCATGTGCTATCTTATTTTTGAGTGAAATTCAATCTTTATTTATATATGTTTGTTTAAAGTAGGCTATAAGATAAATTAAAATAATGCTATCAACCGGTATTTTTTCTAATCAAACCGTTTCCGGAATGGTAATGTTTAATGAGGAACGCAAAAAAAAATTGGAAACGTTAAAATTTCGATTCTGCTCAGAGAGTACGGATTGATTTTTGTGTGTGTTTTTTTTTTTTTTTTTTTTTTTGGTTTATCTCACCCCACATTTCTGTGTTGTTCACTCACTGCATAAACCTACAACTCTTGTTCCGGTTTAAATTACACCATATCTAATCATCTGAAATGGAAGTGGTATATTGCTTACACATAGCCTATTGTTTATTAACATATTCAATTACCATTGCATAGCAGCCCATATTATTGTGTCTGAAAGGTAGTATAATATTGCTGGCATATTTAATTTTTCCATATAGATAGTGTTCCAGTGTGTACTTCAAAAATACCATGCTATTATGCATTTATATCAATATCAAACAATGAGTGCTAGTGTTACAGCTGTCATTTTTTTGCTATGGAATGACATATTTGGGCAAATAATTGATTCTTTATTCCCCCAAACTGAACGTGTATAGCCTATATTTTCTTTTTTCTATATAAACATTTTTTTTTTTGCAGTTCACTTGAATAGTTCTGAGATTTTTCTGTAATTTCATGCAGAATGAGCATGTGACACGAATTCAAAAATGGTTATGTTATGGTTATAGAATGTATTAAATAGAAGTCTGCCATCATTTCCAGATCATTTATATTTTCTAATTTGCTGTATATTGAACATTTGTAAGTTGCATTAACTCTTAGCACCGTTTGGTGTCATTTGAAGAAAGAGATTGTGGCCGCTCTGTTTGTTTGGCAGGACATTATCTGAAAATGAGTTTAATGAGGGACTGATCTACTGCCCCCTGCTGACCAGCCACTGCCCCAACCAACCATAAACACTGCTCTCAGTACCAGCTCTAAACATTTTCCTTTTGTCTCTAATCTTAGACCCATCAATCATTGCAGACATGGTTTTCAGCGGGAGAAAGCGTGCATAACTTAAATGCTCGACGTCTGGTCGCTCAGTAGCAGTCTAAGACAGTAATAATTTCTGAAGACTTCATGTGTTTGTTTTGACATTTGTGTACCTCTAATGTCCTCTGGGTTTATTTTTGGGCACCATTTGATGTTTTTTTTATTTTTC